GAATACAGAATAGAAAATAAGCCGAGGGTAGATATTGAAAAAAAATTATATTTAGACAGTATCAATTCACCAATTTTGGCAGTATTTATTGACAAGTAATCATACTTTATGTATGCATTAGATATTACAGAAGTTGTAGTAGACTTTACAGAAGAGAGAATTGTTGATTGGTAATTACTTCCTCCATCCACACTTAATCATACTTCAACCAGTTTTAAGCTTATGCAAAAACATTGATTGTTATAAATGATCATGCAGAAAGAAATATGTTTAACATAATATTAAGAAAAGCACAAATAACTTCCTGTCTTAGTATTGTATCTTTATTATTAGTTTTGTATCTTTATTCTTCCTGTCTTAGTATTGTATCTTTATTATTAGTTTTGTATCTTTATTCTTAGATACATTAGTGAAGAAGAAAACAGATGAAACTTATAACAATAGTCAAAGTTTGTTATACCAGAGAACCTGGAAAATGCTCTAGTAAAATCACATAAAGAAATGTTGAACTCACTTTACAGAACATAATCAATATTAAGAAAAGCAAAAATGACGACAAATGTCTTAGTTTTGTATCTTTTGTAATCGTAAGCTACCTATAAAATTCAGTTTTGATTTCATTTTATAAAACTAACTCTAAACATCTTAATTAATTTTTAAAGCGCTAAAGAAGGGGGCTTAGCTTAATTGTGTGTGTAGATGGGGCAAAGATCCTTACCTCACCTTCGAGTACATAAATAATAAAAATAACAAGAAAGTTGCCAAGTTTTTAACCATAAAATATTTTTGATTTTCCAGAAAAAATCTCAGATTTATTTATATTCCTTTAATTCATAAAAACTCTAATACACATGCTTGGCCTGGGCATTTACATTCATAAGAATTCACTCATTTGTCGGGAAACTAGGTTTGAATCCACAGACTACTCTTTTATGTGCTTTCGTTTAGCACCACTTCACTCTATCACCTTTCTCTTTGTTCTATATCGCTCTCCTTCATCTCAAGGTTGCACTCTTTTTGATGTTATTTCTGATCATATTGACCAAGCCCTCTCTCTTTATCCATCAGCCAATATTGCTGTTGTCGGTGACTTGAATAACTGTTGAATAACTTGGCTCTAGTGTCAGTGACTCTGCAGGTATTAAAGCCCACAACTTTTGCCTTTCTCAATCCCTAACTCAAATAGTCAACTTTCCAACTCGCTTTCCAGACAACCCAAATCATTTACCTTCTCTACTTGACTTATATCTTGTTTCTGATCCTAGTCAGTGCTCAGTTTCTCCACATTCACCCTTAGGCGCCTCTCTCTAAAACATTATCTCATTCTTCTTTACCATCAGAATCCCCCTATCATCGTACATCTTACAACTACCTTAAAGCTGACTGGGACTCCGTGATGGTAGAAATCTTTTGTTTTCCTGTTGACAAATGTGCTTCTTACATAACTTTGTGGATTCAGGCTGGCATGGAATCCTTTATTTCCTCTCAACGATTTCAGGTCAAGCCTCACTCTTCTCAATGGTTTTCCTCACATTGTGCTGCTGTAATATCCAATCGAAACCATTACTTCCATATCCATCAGTAAAACAATTCTCCAGAAAACAGACATCTGTTTATTACTGCTAGTAACCATTGTAAAAAGATTTTGTCTAATGCCAGAGCCCACTAATCTCAGGTCATGAAATCTCGTATTTCATCATAAAAATTAGGCTCTTGTGACTTCGGGAGAATCTTTAATGATATCAATAATAAGAGCAAGTCTGTAATTCCTCCTCTTTTGTATGGCTCAGATGTTGTCACCTCACCTAAAGACAAAGCTAAGTTGTTTGCTAAGAACTTTTCATCTATATCATCTCTTGATTCCACTAGTTACATTCTACCTGATATAGCTGTCAAACAGGTTGATTCATTGCTTGACATTCATATCACTCCAGCTTCTGTATCTAAATTGATTTTCTGCTTATACACTTCTACAGTTTGTGGCCCGGACAACATACCTGTTATAGACTTGCAGAAGTGTTCTCCACAGCTGTTGTCTATACTTTCAAAACTATTCAATAAGTGCTTATCAGAGCATAACAGATGCAAGTGCTTATCAAAAAAACAGATGCTGTTTTCCAGCCTGCTGGAAAGCAGCATCTGTTATTCCTATTTTTAAAAATTCTGGAGAGCGATCTGATTTGTCCAACTACCGTCCCATTAGTCTTCTTCCTATCATAAGCAAGGTTTTTGAATCTTTAATTAACAAACACTTAATCTCTCATCTTGAATCTAATAACTTACTTTCTGATCATCAATATGGATTTCGATCTTTTCGTTCTACGGCTGATTTGCTAACAGTAATAACTGATAGGTTTTATTGTGCATTAGGTAAAGATGGAGAGGTTAAGGTCATCACTCTTGACATTTCCAAAGCACTTGATGAAGTTTGGCATGCTAGTCTTCTCCATAAGCTTTCTTCTTACGGTGTATTTGGAAACATCTTTAAGATTATTGAAACCTTCCTTTCCAATCATAGTATAAAAGTTGTCCTTGATGGACAACACTCTTCTTTATACCCTGTAACTTCAGGGGTTCATAAAGGTTCTATACTTTGCCCTATACTCTTTTTAATTTACATTAATGATCTTCCAGATATTTTCACATCTAAGGTGGCATTGTTCACTGATGATACTATTATTTATTCTTGTCATGATAAAAAGCCAACACTCTCTGATTGCTTGGAAGGGGCATTTGACCTTGAAAAGGATCTCACTTCTGCTACAGCATGGGGCTCACAGTGGCTGGTGAACTTTAATTCAGATAAAACTCAATTTTTTTCGGCCAATTGTTATCGCAATAATTTAGACCTTCCTATATTTATGAACAGTAATGTACTCGATGAGTCTCCTACCCTTTGTCTTCTAGGATTAACTCTTACTTCTGATCTTTCTTGGAAACCTTATATTAAATCCGTTGCAAAATTAGCATCTGCTAAAGATGCATCTTT